CCCGAACTAACCTGACACGACATCACCCCGAACTAACCCGACATACCCAAACCGCCCCGACCGAACCTGATTTTTGTCGGGTTGGCGTTCGTTTAGTATATTTGACCGTCCCGACATGTACTTAAACCGCCCCGACATGAACCGGACATGACATATCCCCGAACCAACCCGACATGTACCCAAACCTACATATCCACGACATGTTTCCTTACATTTTGACAAATATGCTAAAGAATTGTTGGTTTTTTTTGGTATAGTTTTGGAAGCCGCTCGGTCACGTCCTCAAAAAGAGTTTGTCAATATGGTGAATGGTTTGAAGTCCCTACTTGTAGGTGTGGCAAGGACATGAAAATGCTAACATCGTGGACCAAAAGTAATCCTGGTAGAAGATTCTGGACGTGTGCCGGAAATGTCGGTGAAGTATAATTATTTGTTTTACATTTTAGTGTTGCTTTATTTGTTTCATGTGATTAATGTAAGTTTGTGTTGATTAGGGAACACGTAAATGTAAGAGCTGGGATTGGATTGACCCTGAAATATGCGATCGTGCTAAGAAGATCATTCCCGGGCTTCTAAACAAGATCAATGAGAAAGACAGAGAGATGGAGCAGCTAAAGAATCGTAATAAACAGAAGAAAAAGATGAATGTCATCCCTTTTATGTTTGGTTTGGGTGTAGGACTTGTCATCCATTATCTTTTCCTTGTGTTGTTTATGTAAACTTTAGAAAACAAGACTTTGGCTATGAATAGAATTTCAACCTTTGTCTCTGTATTGGCTGTGGCACTTGTATGATGTAGTTTATGGTTTTTATTTGTAATGAAAGCCAACTTTTGCTGGATTGATTCAATAGAATGCATCTGCCATATTCTATTTGCTTACAAATGTGAATGCCACAACAAAGTGACCAAAACAAAGCACTTGGGTATGAATCAGGAACTGTTATTCACAGTGAGGCAACACATTTTAGAATCCAAAAAACCAAAAACCAAAGCCAACATAATTCAGAACTGTTACAGACTTTGGAATCAAAACATATCAAAATTTGCAACACCAAAAATACATCCAAATCTGTTACAAACATAAGCTGAAACAGGTTCTTGGCATTGCTAATCTCAAAAACTGTAACAGAAGCCAAATGTTACAAAAACTAAGTGTTTGTGCTGTGATGAGCATCAAAATGACAAAACCATTTTACAGTGAATGAACTACATGTCTTCAAACACAGCCCAAAATCTCTGCATTCCTAATCACTCTTGGCCAGTTTCTTCTTTTTTGTCTGTTTCTGCACCAATCTGCCATCTTCATCCCTCTTTTGACCACAAGTCCTATGGTTATGACCTAGCTGTTTGCACTTCCCACAACGTTTTGTTCCATGAACCGTCCTCTTCTGCTTAATGACCCTGTCATCAATCCCATCTCTTCTCTTGTGCTTTTTAGGTCTTCCCTTTTTCTTTAGGTTTTTTGGAGGGTCAAGATTGGGTTCTGATGTCTCTCCCCACATGCAAGGATCTGGGATAGGGTGTATAATAGCATCATACAACCCCTTGTACTTCTCAACTGAAAACCAGTGTGCACAATAGTCCTCTAACTTCTCATTCAGCCTAAGAATGCATCTTGCAGCATGTTTACAAGGTAGGCCTGTCACTTGCCATCTGCTACAGTCACAATTATGCTCTCGTAACCTCACTGTGAAATTTGTGCACCCATCAAGTACATCAAACTCCCCTCTACCAGCAGCCACAACCTCTGAGCATACTCTTGAGTCCATTGCTAGCTCCCTAAGTTTTTTATCTACAAAGGGGGTGACTACAGTGGACCATTTCCTTCCCAATTCAAACCTTTTTTCAAATCTGTTTCCAACAAGCTTTCTAATCTCCTCCAGCATGGTCAACATGGGCTTGCCTCTATGTCCTAAAATCGCTTTGTTAAATGATTCCACAAAGTTGTTGGTGTTATCTCCACACTTTAATGTTCGATCAAACTTATGTCTAGCCCAATGCTCATGTGCCTCATTATTCATAAGCCATTCATATGCTTCATTATCTTCTTCTTTTATCTTATTCATTGCTTTAATGAAGACATACTCAGAGTAAGTATTTGCAACTATGTAGAAATATGAATGGAACCAAGCACCTGGCATAATAACCTCCATTACAGTAAGCCATGAAAATAAGGGGCAGTTATAAGAGTATAGTAACAGCAGTATACCTGTGAATGTTTTGGCAAAGTTCTTGTAAAAATGAAGAACACAAATTCTTCTTGAAGCTTTTGGAATAGCATTCTTCAGGCCTTGTATTATACCCTGTAAGATGTTGAAGAATAATAAGTTAAAACACATATTATAAAGCAATGGATAATCTCAACTGTAAGTAAAATTTTTGTTTATACCGCATGCCTATCTGAAATTATAGTATACTTAGAAGCATCTTTAGTGCAACCTAAAGCCAGAGCTAAACTATTCAAGAAAAATGACCACTCAGTTTCATCCTCACAATCTGCAACACCATATGCTAAGGGAAATTGGCCATTATTGCCATCTAATGCCATAGCAGTTAGTAACACTCCCTGGTATGGGCCCTTTAAATGGCATGCATCAATACCAATGAATGGCCTACAGTGGTCTTTAAACGCATTGATGGCTGAACCAAGACATATCTGACATCTTCTAAAAATAGGGTTTCTTCCAGGTCCTATCTCTTGCCACCTGATGAAGCATTGAAAATCTGGATTTCTGGCTCTAAAAACCTCCATATACTGTGGTAAGAGCTTGTATCCATCCTCATGCCTACCATCAACTATTTCCCTCATCAACTTAATTGCTCTCCAACAAGTGTATTTAGGTATGTAAGTGGTGAACTTAGACAAAACCAACTTCTGCAGAGTGCTTGCCTTCATCTCCTTATTACTTCTGAAGTCTTCAAGAAAATGGCTAGCAACCCAAGAAGCTCCTGCCCTCTTATGGTGCTCTTTCACAGAACAAACATGCTCCTCACACAAGGTCTTTATCATCCAAGAGTGCCTATCAACCAAAACAGAAGCATGTATCCTAAACTTGCAGTTCTCATTTATACAAGTATGAGTGTATCTTCTTTTGTCATTCTTGAGTTTTCTAAGAGTTATTCCTTTCTGAATAGTATAGTCCTTCATGACTCTAAGAAAATCCTCTTTGCAACTAAAAATGTCTCCAACCTTTAACTCAACCTTTCCATCCCTACTTCTTACCCAAAGCCTACCAGTGCGAAAGACCTTGGCCATTTTTTCAACAACTGACTGATTACCATAGTCATCTTCATCTTCATCCATGTGGTCCAATCTCATTCTATTGGCAGTGTCAGCTTCAACATCTATTTCATCATCTGTTGCTGATTTTTCATCCATGGAAAGTTCCTCACTGCTTAAACATTCAGTGGAGTCTTCACCCCCATCAAAGTCATCATCTTCAGTGGACTCATTTTCTTCATCAGTATCAACCTGTCCACTTTGTATTTCAGCTTGTGAAGGAAGCACAACCTCTTCAAAAAATATATCTAGGGTAGGAATTTCAGGTTTGCTCAAACTTGGTATGTCATAAGCTTCTAAGCCTTTCAATTCCTTGCTCAACAATTTCACATTCAATTCAGTAAGCTCAAACTGTTTTCTTCCTCCCTCCTGAGCCTTCCTTTTCTTCTTCTTAGGTGTCCTATGATTATCAACCTCCTCTGCAATGGTGGGAGAGTGTTGTGTAGAGGAGTTTGTAAGGAAATCACCTAAGGGATGAGAGGTATTAGGTGCTGGTGGAGTGAGACTAGGTAATTCTTCAGCTTCAATCAAAGACGGTTGGGTTTGCACTTCATCTCTCATATTCTTGTTCTGCCTTCTCACTATTAACTTGGCTTTGCTACAACTCCTTGGTTGGCTATCAAGAATGCTACCACATTCTGTTGGAGTCACAAGTAGATTATCAGCCCACTGCTCAATTTCAGTCATACAAGCCTCATTATAATCTTGGGTACTGGAATCAAGACCCTCTGCCATTTTTTGTAGTGCACTAGGCTCCTTCAACTCAATCACAAATAAGGGGATGTAAGTACAACAAACCCCACCCCATTCAGCAACCATTCTATTCCAATCTGAATCAACCATTAGTTGCTCCCTCTGAAGTTCTTTGTCTGGTAAATGATATCTAAATCCAATGAACCTAGGGAGAATTATATTCTGCTCTTTAGCTCTGGAAATTACATCAGCATACAAATCCTTGGTGAAGTAGATATCCAAATCAATGTCTTCTATGTCAATCCATTTGTGTTTGACATATACTCTAAATCCAGTAGGAGGCTGAAATTTTTAAAATTGAAGATTAAAATAAGCAATAGTATACACCCAGTATTCAATAGAAAACAAAACATTAAACTGGCATAAACCTTTGGAATTCCTTAGTCTTCATACTCAGTTTCATGTCCAGTAAATCGCATAATATAAACAAATTCAAACTATCAACAGCTTCGTTTCATGTCCAGTAAATTCGAGTCAACAGAAGATGAAGAAGAAAATTGAAGAAGAAAATTGACAAAGAAAATTGACTTTATAAATTCCAATGGTTCAGGCTATAATTACCATTCTTTGCAGGTCTTCGATTTTTCCTTTTCCGGAAGCTCAAGGAGGAAGACGATGAAGTCAGATAAAGTCAGACGTACGTTTATACCTTTTTTGGAAAAATAATAGGGGTATAACAGACATTTCGCAGCCACTAACGGTGGGTTTGACGGATTGTATCCACCGAGTCAATTACTAGATAACAAGAGGGACCCCGCAGTACATTTCTAAATTTAATGGGACCTGGCAGTTATATTTCGAAAATAGAAGGTACCCGGGAGTGATTTTTTGGAGAGGATTTAGCTCAAGGGAACGTATTTTTCTGACAAATAAATTACTTCGGCGTTGAGTAAAGTGTGACCACCCTTTGGTCTACAAATCCTCAAATTTGTGCCATAGATGGTACTAAAACTTGGTGTATTTCCTATGATACCACTTTTTTTCATAAATGGTACTAATATTGATTTGATCTTCCTTTTTTACCATCTTTTTTCCACGTCTAAATTTTATCTGCTTCTCAGACCTTGTTTTTGCACTGCGTGCTCCCTTTTAGCTTAAGTCATCTTCTTCGTCGTTCTTCAAATCAGAATGATGATCGACAATTCTTCTTCCATCTCTCAAACCGGCTAATTCAATGTCTGCTCAACAGAATTTTCCTTCGTATCATACATGTTCAATGTTGATGGTCAATGGAGCGATGATTCCACCTTTCATTGTAAACGTAATTATGAGTTGTTCATCCATTCTGAAAATTTGTTCGCAGACCTAATGGACGCAGTTCATGTAGCGGTTGGTGATGATTGTGCGTAATATATTTTTCGATTTTCATATTTGTTGCCGTCTTTCCCTCCCCTTATTGTTATTGATGATGATTCCAGTTTTCAATTTTACTTGAAACTGAAATCCTTTTACAGAGATGCTATGGTTTTGCCCTTATGTGTTCAATTTCTTCCCAATTTGCTTAACGTGACATCAAATCCTATTTCGCCTCCAAACAGAATGCATTTGATTTCACATGACAATAACTCAATCCTTATTGGGGACATTGCATTTGTCAATCATATAAACACTGTTTCATTAATGGTTGAATCTGGTCTCCAAACTCCATTGTCAATGTCTTTGAATTTCAGTTTAGATGAGAATGATTCAATGTCTATTGGGAATAATGTAGCGAGCAATGAAGAGAATACTGTCTTATTTATTGATTAATATCAACTCATACTTCATCCTCCATCTGGTCTTCAACATGCATCTACTAGTTCCACCTCACCATCAATGTCATTTACTATCGAAGGGACAAGTTATGATTTAGAAGACATTGATTATTCCAGTCACCATGATGCTAATAGGAGGGATGTTAATATTTATGAACCACCTTTGAGGGGTGTCATTAGCACTGGTCCAATGACATCGAGGAAGTATTGTATATGTCCCCAGAATTTGAGATCTTATCCCATTTCCACCCCCCTAGAATAGTCGTTGATGCAATATATGAGAGCAAGGAAGTGTTGGATTACCACTTAAAAATGTTGGCTATTAGCAATTGTTTTGAATATAGAACGAGGAAATCCACAAAGAAAGTTTACATGTTGTATGTGTAAACCGTAGCAGATCCTAGTGAGCTATCAAAGTTGTTCGCATGCCACATGATGAAATGTTTCAGATTCGCAGGTAGCATTTCTACTCATTATGTTGCTAATGTTGTTAGACTTCATCACTTTTGTTGTCCAAAGCTTTGTGTTAGTGGTGTTTAAATTGGTAAAAGACATTTTTATATATGTGTTTTAAGTATTTACACTACAATGCACCTATTTTGTAGTTAATCATCTTTCATTTACTTTTGTTTTCAAAATTGACAAATTAGCTTCATTTCCTTCTTATTTCTGAAATTTGATGACATTATCTAACACAAGTGTTTTCTCCCATGTATGACTTTGAACATCAATGTTTTGTTGATGTTATTAAACAGGATAAGACTCGCCAGGCTACTTCTTCCATTATTGCAAACCTTATCAAGCACCAATGATGCGACACAGAAGCCATATCCTCCGAAGTCCATAATATCTGACATGCGGAGGGATCATGGATTTTTTATGAGTTATAACAAAACATGGTTTGCAAAAGAAAAAGTTTTGAAATTAAGTTTTGATCAGATGAAGAGTCATATGCAATGCTGCCATCTATGTGTTATATGCTAAAAATTCAAATCTAGGTTCCACCATTGAACTTAGCACATCTGATAATGGGTTCTTTAAGTATTTCTTCATGTCTCTATGTGCTTGGAAAGATCGATGAGCTCACTACATTCCAGTTTTGGTTATTGATGTGTCATTCATGAAATCATATTATAAAGGTACGTTGCTAACAGATGTGGCACATGATGGGAACAAACAAATATTTCCATTGGCCTTTGCTATTTGTGATGCTGAAGACATTACAAATTGGAAGTGGTTCTATAAAAAGGTTAAAGAGATCCTTGTAGCTCAAGAAGTGAAGTATATTGTCTCTAACCTTCATGATGGCATTTTAAGTGTTGTGGAGTCCGTTTTCCCAAATGTTATGCATGGGCATTGTATATATCACATTCTTGGTAACATTAAGACGTCATTCTGTGATTCTACAAATGCTGTTACATGGAAGTTTATTCGTGCTACAAAGGCTGCAATTATTTGTGAATGAAATTGGCATATGAGATTGTTAGATGAGGAGGATCCAACGATTTTATTATGTTCAATGTTTTATTCTTCCATTTCTCGTCTCTGGCAGCATTCTTCTCCAAAATTAATAGAGGACTAAGTTCTTTTGATGTCTTTTTTGGATTCATTTTTGTTTTCTGGGCTTCATTGTATTTTGAGCATTGCTCGAGGCTTTTCCTTTTTCTGGGGTTTTCCGTAGCATGTAAAGCATCCCCACCTTCACCTCACCATAGCTTTTTCTGGCATTGTCATCTTTAGTATCCGTAAAGATTCCCGACTTTTTTGAGAATGACTTTTTCTTGATCAGATTTTACTCCCTTCATCTCTATCCACTCAAAGTACAAATCAAATGAATGTCATATTATAATTCAATGGAAATTTAGTTTTGATAATAAAATAAATACAATATTAGATACAAAACAGTACCCAAATCTTCTCTCTTTGTGTTTTTAAGTTTTACCTTTTCATTTTTGAATATTTCCTTCTCCAATAACACTTTGGTAGTTCTCTCGTCCGTTGTCCATCTTAATGCCCTTGGAAATAATGTCTTCCTTTCTTTGTCCACTACACACTCCTTCTCTAGTATCAATACTGATAATATTTCATTCGCACATATCTGTAAAGCGAAATGGAATCCATGGAGATTGAATCATGGCTTCTTGCTTGTATTCATAATACCACCACATTTTCGAACACTCTCTACGAGATCTTTCCACACATCTTCTCCCCATGGGTTGCTATTAAATTTGGATAAATCATTGACCAAGTGGAGATACAGTCCTTGAAGTTTAATAGTTCGCTGGTTACCAATTATATAGGTCCCTAGCATGTATAAGAGCTCTAACTTCACTGCATTTAATGCTTGTCTATTTTGACTTTTATTGTTACTCAAATGCAATCTTCACATTTTCTTTGTCCATCGACTCCATATGATTGAGTGTGAGAAGAATGAGGAGTTGGCCATTCAATTATCCAATGTCGAACTAATATCCAAAAATAGTCTCTCAAAATTCCTTTAGCTCTTCTTTTAAAAGCACTTCTTTCAACTTCTTAACTCCATTCCCAACATTGCAGTATGAATTTATCTTAGCTTCAATTTTTGTATCTAGTAGTTTCGGCTTACATAGGCATTTATCAACTTGTCACATTAAACAAAATTTTGTTCATTTTGTTTCCAAACAGAACACAAATTGCATTTGAAATTATTCTACTTTTGCATTCAAATGCTTAAGAGGACATTAATACACCAACTAAACATAGTCTCGTCATTTCAAATAAATCATGTAGACATTAGTAGATATTATCCTCATTACACACAATCATAATTGAATTGTATAAATTAAAGCACAGTAACATCTGCTGGACTATATGCTTCTCATAATCCCTCAAAACTTATGTCTCAATAAAAAATGTCATTTTATTCATTTAAATGCCTAACTGGACATTCATTTGCCAACCAAAGACACAATCTCATCGTTAATAAAACAATATATACATTAACAGACTTTGTCCACATCATAGACGACATCCATAATTGAACTGTACATATCCCACTAACATCCCATGGCCCTAAAAACTTATTTCTATATTAACAAATATCGTTATATTTATTCAAATGCCTAACAGGACAGTAATATGCCAACTGAATACCTAATCTCATCTTTTATAATACACCCTGTAGAGATTAGTAGATATTATCCTCATTACACACAACCACAATTGAATTGTTTAAAGCCCAGTAACATCTGCTTGACTATATGTTTCTCATAAGCCCTGAAAATTTATATCTCAATAAAAAATGTAGACATGCACAACTTGAATAGGCATTAATAAAATCATGTAGATATTAATAGTTGTTAGGATATTAATTCAATATTTCCAAAGATTTGTGAGAGGGAAGATTCTAGAGAATTCTAGAAGTTTATGGAGATGTGTAGAATTCTCTAGAATGTTGTGGAATTTTCTAGAGAAGTGTAGAAGTCTCTAGAAATGTGTAGAATAGTCTAAAAGTTTCTAGAATATTCTAGAGCTTTCTAGAGAAGTGTGGAAGTCTCTAGAAGCGTGTGGAAGAATGTAGTGTTCTCTAGAATATTCTAGAACTATGTTGAGTCCTCTAGATTCTTCTAGAACATTATGGAAGCATGTGGAGACTTTCTAGAAGATTCTAGAGATAAAGACATGTGTGGAACATTCTAGAGAAGCCTAGCCTTGGTGTGGAGTATAAATAGGGGTGTGGATGCCTCATTTGGAATGAGTGTGGAGGAAGAAGAGAGTGAACAACCAAGAATTCTTCTTGAGAGTGCTTGTGAGTGAGGTGTAGAGAGGGGTTCCTAATACAAAGAGTGAAGTGTGCTACCCGTGTAATTGTACTCTCTCTTGTACATTTTCTCTATATAATACAAAGTTTTTTTCTAAAGTTGTGTCTTTGTATTATTGAGTGTGTGTGAGTGTACAAGAGTTTGGTTGTGTGAATCGGGGAAAGAGTTCGAGACTCGCGTCAATTCCCCAACAGTGGTATCGGAGCCAGGTTCACAGAGGTAGAGATACGGGTAGAGTGTGCTTGAAAGATCTCGTGTTGGAGTGATGGCAGCAGGAGTACCGAAGATGTTCGAGATTCCACTCTTTGATGGGAAAACAAACTTTACGTTGTGGCAGAGTACGATTCAAGACCTATTAGTGCAGCAAGGTCTTGATCAAGCACTAGAGGAGGAGAAGCCTACCCCCATGAGTGAGAGCGAGTGGAGTAAAATTCAGAGGAGAGCTGTTAGTAGTATCCGGTTGGCACTTGCTCCCGAGATTAAGTTTAGTGTGTTGAAGGAGACCACACCAAAGGCATTGTGGGATAAGCTCGAGAGCATCTATGCGTCAAAGTCGCTGACAAACCGGTTGTGTTTGAAGATGGAGTTGTACTCGCTCAAGATGGAAGAAGGAGGTAATCTTCATGACCACATCAACATGTTTAATCAACTAGTATGTCAGTTGATGAATGCCGATGACAAAATTAAAGACGAGGAGCAAGCGTTGTTGTTGAACTGTACATATCCCACTAACAAAATAGGATAACATTTTCAAAGTGCTGAGCTGAAGTAAATCAACGAAACTGTGCAAGAAGTAGAGAACAAGTTGTTGATTATGACTTGTTTGACATCAACACTAGAGGTTAGCGTTAGTATTTTGAAAAGGCTATCTAACGGTAGTTTTTAGCGTTAGCGTTTTCAAAATTAATCTACACCATTAAAATTTTATTCAAAATGCTACTGCATGCTAATCAAAAATAAAAATGCTATGGCTTGAGAAGTTTTGATCTTTTCAAAATCTTTTAGAGATGGATCCTGTTGGGAAAATCACCTCAATTTTCTAGCGGAAGCAATTAATAATTTTCCCGTCTTTGTGTTGTCAAAATGGGCAAAATCATATGACCGATCAAGAATAGCAAACACAACAACAAACAATCAATCAAACGATAAACGAACACCAAGATTTAACGTGGAAACCCCAAATCGGGGAAAAAACCACGAACCCTTCCACTAATCACCAAGAAAATCAGTGGGTACACCAAGAATCCTCTCTAAATCAATTAGAGGTATACACAATCATCAAGCAACAACCCGGAACACCAAACAACAATAATCTTCACTCAAAAGTGAGAAAACCCATACAAAAATGCAGCAGCAAACAAAGGCTGTTTTACCGACATCGAGAGGTCAAAACAACAATCCCACCGTTGGATATGAAGAAGAGTATGTGAGGAACAACATACTAAAATTTCATCCCGATCGGAGCTCGTTTGGTCATCGATCGAAGCACAAAACCAGGCTGCACCTCTCTTTTTCTCCCTTCTTCCTTCTCTCGGCTCTCTCTATTTTTCCTCTCTGTTTCTGCTGCTGTGTTGGCTGCCTTTCTGCCCGTGACCAGCCTGCCCACAAAAGGCTATTGCCTTTCAAAAAGTGGCAGCCCCACTTTGACTCTTTTTTTTTTCTTTTCTTATAATAATAATAATAAATATTATTACTATTATTATTATTATTATTATTATTATTATTATTATTATTATTATTATTATTATTATTATTATTATTATTATTATTATTATTATTATTATTATTATTATAATAGATCCGGACAGGTGGACGCATAGCACATGTATTTTCATGTTTGTGCAGACATTGTGGTCTGTGGATCGGACTTCAATCCATCTGGCTGGTTTTCAAACATTTTGGCATGTTAAAAACCAAACTGTTTGGTTCGCTTGGGGTTTAAATATGCACCACCCAATTTATTTACACGTAAAACCCGACCATATGCAAAATAAAAAAAAGTCGGACCTGGCTGCATTTATTTACATTATATTTGCTTGAATGAATTTGATAAGAAAAAGAAAAATATAAAATTGAAAACAGCTTTTCTAGTTTTGCTACAGAGAAAGAAAAAAGAAAAATGGATGAAAAACAAAATGAAAAAACAAAATGTACTAGAAGGAGGTAAAACAAATTTCTTCCACTTGCGTAAGGAACCCTTCCTTGAACCAAACATAGTATTAGGGACAAAAAACATTAGTTATTCTTATTGAAATCAGACAAAATCAAACATGTCAGATCAGATAAGATCATAAGAATAACTTTAAATTTAATTAGAGTTAGGTTGATCAGTTCAAATCAAACCTTAATAAATTCATATTAGAATCACACGAAGTGAACAAGTCCTTAGTTTCCTGGTTTTGGGGTGGGTTATCCCACATCTAGAGTACAACTAGATCTAGCAAAACAGACTCGGACCCGACAATCTGAATCGAATAACTCGAAACTAAATTCAAAATAATTCGAAAGTGGAAAAATCCAATTAAACCCCAACACCCGAAATGATCCGACCCAAACTGAAACCGAATCGAATGCATTCAGGCCCGTTTAAGATCTGGATCCGTTTGAACCTGAACCGGATAGAACGAACCGATTAGGTCCGAAACCGATTAGACACAAAAAAATCAATTAGACCCATTATTGATCAAGTTCAAAACATATTAAACTCAGATTCAGTCAAACCTAGTAGCTCATTGGTTTATGTCTTTCTAAGAAAAAATATATTGGAATTATAGGTACAACTGATTTAATGTGCAAATCTTTTACGGAGTATGTCGTATTTTATCACTTAAACTAAGGTTGTCTATTTTTATAGAGAGTATATAATTTATAGCGATATCGTAACACACATTAATGGATATATTAGCTCATTATTGATGTCATATATATACTTTTTTTACACAGGGAGGAGAGGCTACACACAAGACTAATATTAGGAACTCTAATACCAAGGAATCTCATCTGAAACCGGTATAAACCCAAACCGATTTATACCCAAAGCAGTATAAACCCGAACTGATATAAACCCAAACCGATATAAACCCTAATCGAAACCAAAAAAATCAAACCAAATTTAACCCAAACCGAACTGACCTGAACCGAACTGACCCGTAGCGATTATAACATATACCCAAAAGAAACCCAAACTAAAAAGATCCAAATCGGAACCAAATCGATTGACCCGATTGCCAAGTCTAAGTACAACCCAGAGGACCATACTCAACAAGGTCCATGAAGATGCAAAACTAGGTCCTCATTGGTATTCCATTTCAATTTTCTTGTGGGCTACCAGCCTGATTCAACAAATCAGCCAAAGATGTACCTGTCAATCTGTCATTGCTGCTCAGTGATCATCTTGTTAATTGTTACTCTTCACAGAAATTTTTATTGAAGAAAATCAAAATAACATATCCTTCAATTATATCCATAATTCAGCAGTCTAACTATACTGGAAAAACAATCCTCAGTAGGACAAGAGTCATTTTCAGCATAAAATGTTTGAACACTACAAACCATCCATGCATGTGGTTCATTTCCCTGACCATAAACTACTTATAAAGGCCTAGTAAGACTTTCCACAGTGTATCAAGCTTCCTGCCCCCAGGAAAAGACCAAAGATTGCTGCACTGCCGACAGTTGTCTGTCCAATGTGCCTGATTTTCAAAAGCCCAGGAACCTGGAAAGTTTAAATAAAGTGTTCTCACTTATAAGTGATGTGCAGATGAAGAAATTAGGATAATTGATAATTAAGCAAGCATTCTATAGTGAAGAAATGGGAAGGGTTTATCACTTATGTATGTTAAAAAGTAAAACACATAAGGGTAATAATGAATGAGGATTTAGTTGATCCTACAAGAGAATATCCAAATGCATGGAGGGAGAGAGAGAGAGAGGGAGGGAGAGAGAGGGAGTGAGAGTTTTATTGTCTGCCTATTAAAACAGAGTGAGATATGCAATGGTCCATGATGAAGTTGATGCCAGACTTTTCAATTTGTGAGTACAAATTTGGAATTGAGTTGGAAAGGACAGAACTATGGTGTGTGCATTGCTAGTTATACCAAGAACTAGGATCTAAGCTAAATCCCAGGAACCGAAGAGAAAATACGCATATTGCATGGAAAAGGGCCTGGGCTTTTTCCAAACAATGGAACGTTTTCTGAGTGCCCAAATCTGGACTTGGGTTTGTTATGCCTAAGATCCGGAATTTGATCTAAAACTGAAACATTCAAATTGAACACCACACCAGCTGACTATTATTTATGGTATCCTAGATCCTACACATAACATACTAAAGCATTGCCTACATTTTACTTATCAAAACGTTAATGCAAGCATTGTGCCAACTTGCCAAGTGATGTGTATTAAAACAAATGAGCGCGAGATAAAGATTTTACAAATTAAAACACTACTCTCTCCATCACATAAAAGGAGACATGTCTCTAAATATTTATCATATTTCACGTTTGAACGATAAATAAAAAATGTCATAAATAAGTTGAATGTGTAAAACTTAGTTAAACCAACAATTCACTTTAAATGTAAAGGTATTTCAGATGATTTCTAATAGTTGTACACTTGTCGCATTGTCAATGAGGACTCTTTTTCTAGGATGAGGGAGTATATAGCAAAAATACTTTGCAAACTAAAAACACTGTCAATAGGAGCATAATTCTATCAGGGGAAACATAACAGCACAACTTTAAAACCCGGAGGTGTTTGCAAATTTGACTAGTATTACACTCAAAAACAAGATCTCTATTCAAAAAGAAAAAAAATGAGACTTCACCTTGTATCTAATAGCCTCAAAAGTTCCCCATACAGCACCTGCAGACAAACATATAGAACAATGTATCAGGCGCTCTGTTGGAAAAAATAAGGGTTAGGTTCACCAACTTCAGATATAGCATCATTGGAGGCCCACAATGTCATTGGTGCAACAATGAAAAATTACATCGTTGAAGTTGAAATAACCTCAGAGGATTGCAGGAACAATAGATTTTCTAATCTTGAGACTCCCAGTAATGGAAAAATGGATGGTTTCATCACTCAAACAAGTTGAGGTTCAAGGTGAGTGTTATAGAGTGATATTTCCTCTTTATGCAGGAGAATGGAAACTTCATGTAGTTATCAAATAGCAGGTTGGGGAGTTGAGACAACTAAGAACAGTATGCAATAATTTCATGATAAACATGCAATTTACAGCTCATTGCATCCAAACATTTACTAACACTGAGACCTCTTTTGTTAAAACTTAGATCTCCAGGAAAAGAAAAACAAAGGCAATTGCTCATCCCCTCAAGTTCATCAACAAAGTCCTCTCATCTATCTGACTCACAATTCACTCCATCTGTTCTCACTCCTCGGGCGCTTGAGATATGCAAGACACCATTTCAATGCATGCTAGTTATACATCCCCTAGGCCATTATTACCAAGCATCAACAACAGCACAACACAGTGACAGGAAACTCAAAAGTTATGCCCTAATCAAATTCGTCCATCTACTTGGTAGGAAAGCAGCAGATATGAAATGCACAGATTTGATTGCATATGAAAATGTATCGAGAAACAAAACTTCTCCCTACTGCTGCGACTAACAAATCAATGGAGTGAACAATGGAATCGAAAACATAAAGACTAAAATCAAGAACAGAAGAAATTCGTCTTTGTTCCGCGTTTATCTGTTGAATAATAACGGGGCAAAATTACTCCGCTGTAGATCGGAGGGAACGTTTAGGTATAAGGAAAATCGTACCTACAGCGCCACCAACAGCACCGCCGACTGCCGCCCCTGCGGCGACGCGTGCCAAACAGCTGTTTTCCCTAGCCATATCTGTGTAAACTGTAGACTATAGCGTATGCGGAGGAGCACGGCAGGGGTGGGGACTGGGGTTAAGAATGAAGGGACGAAGGGTCGATAAAAGTCATAAAACTGTGAATTGTTGCAAAAGAAAGCGATAACGGCACCTTTTTCCGTCGACGGCAACCTTACAGTCCGTAATACCGTAATGTTTGGGCTGCATTTCAAATTCAAAAATGATAAAATAAAAAATGCTAGGGGTACACCTTTGGTGTACCCTATTTGTCCCACACCTCCTCTATTACCACAAAAATGGTCAAGAATTTTAAAAAAAATTAAATAAATAAAAAGTAGATAAAAATGGGTGGTGGAGAAGGGGGTGTGTGGTACAAATGGGGTACACCTTTGGTGTACCCCTAGCATTGCTTGATAAAATAACACCAAATTAACATTAAACATTCTCAATGAATTTGTATGCATAAAGGGTATAATCGTCCATGAACATACAAAATTATTTTGTGTATGACAAATTTAGAAAGGATTATCATATGTCAAAGTTGATGTTATTCTATTATGGTTCTTCTAAGTCGTGGTTACTGTTATTAATCGATTAATTTTTATCTTTTCATCTAGTACTTTTTTGAATGGTCTCATAGTATTCGTCTAATTTCCTTTTAATATAACAAAAAATATGGGTTGTACAATTTTCCCTCACCATTTATACCTAAATCTCTCTTCTCGGACCAATTCTTGCCTCTATGTTCTGCCTCCACAACCTACTCCAAGCTAACTCGTTATCGATCTTATTTCCGCCCTCCATCGTGATGATCAAATCTTCACAACTTTTATGATGAGAAATATTATCTAGCCCGAACCAAATTTCCTAATTGCTTATGAAGATAAGTCAATCAAATTTGGTATGTTAAATAAATGAGGAGTATGCAAATATTCCCTCCACATGCTCCTTCTCCTACAATTATCACTCCTCCCTGAAATCTCCATATTGCCACCATTGAACATCTAGTGTCAATGTATAGTTGTTGATTGTGAATGCCAAACGGTACCATCATCTTTTGTTGTTTTGTTCATTGTTGAAAGATACTCTGTGGAATATGGTTCGGCACCAACGCTAGTGAAGAAAACTGAATGACACCAATCCTTTTTTGATCTTGATATAATGCCTCTTTGAAATTAGTTATTATCGTCATCTATCCAAGATTTAGGAAGTGTGAGCATTGCCACCACTACTTAATACACTCTCGCTGGCAGGAGTGTAGCGAGACTCTAGGTGGCACATTTATAAGGTTAATGTTTCATTTCTAATTAAATCATTTGGATGAGTTTATGGATTATTTAAAAAGGTAGGTTAAGTTTGGAGTTGGTCTTAGACTTAATAAATCTAAATGAATTTGTGGATATATTGTACTTATCAACCTAAGCTATTTCTATGATTTGTTATCTTTGTTGATGATCTACTACCTTGATTTTACCAAGTAAACCAAACCAGATTGAGGTGCATGTTTCCAAATGTATAAACAAGAGTTCCTTTTGTTTAATAACTGTATATTTTTTATTCAAGTTTAATTTCTCGTATATTTTTAATTTTCACATACGCTTGATTTATGAGAAATCACAACCCCTTATGTGTTTGTGTGTGTGTGTGTTGTGTGCGTGCCTACCTGCCATTTTGTTGGTGTGGCATGATTTACTTGTGTTTTATAATTGACATCACCATTCCCTGAGGAAAAGATCTTACTGACTTATATATTACCTTTTCATTAAGTGTAGTAAGCTTGTGCATAGATACTAATTTGTTACACATTCATATGATGTTACTAGTAAATTAAACTACATTGGATTCATCATAGAGTTTCACTTAAACACATATTGGCACATCCTAAGGTACACTTTTTGCTTACTATTTAAGAATACTATGACACTTTGTTGACTAAGAATACTTTAAGAGCACTGTTGTGATTTGGCCTTAAACTAAGAATAGTTTAAGGGTATCGTTAACACCATGAATATTGAATTGAATATTATCTGCACGATATTAAATAATTTGGTCATGAATTATGATTTCGTTTATGTGGATGATTTATGCATTAGATCTCCTCACTCAACTTCATCGTTGAGCGCGTAGTATGTTTTATTTGCTACACGCAAGTAAATAAAATAAGGAGTGATGTGAGATTCATCTTGGTAGCAAATTAAATGATGATTTCCAACTATTGAATAAATATTTTGAAAATGAATTATTTATATTTAATGGCTGTGATGTGAAACAGTTATTTAAAGCTTACGCAAATTTGATGAACTCTGTTACTCTATGGATATTTTATTATGAAGAAATAAAGTTAGAAATATTTTAAATTTTTGACATTACCAAGTTAATACTTTAGTTTGTAAGAGGCTGCAGAACTAGATGGATTAAGGTGTTACACCTCGTCCCAAGCAACTACTTCAGCTAGTGCATAATGCCTTTGTAGTTTAGTACATAATGTCCTCGTACAAGAAGACTGTTTGAAGACCTAAAAAGTTACTTTTAAATTTTGTTTATTTTGTAATATTCTAAAAAATTATAAACTCGGAATGTTATATAGTGGGTATTTTTCTGTTATTATAAGTTGGTTAAAACTGCTTATAGACAATTTTAGCTTTTAAGTCAGCTGATGACATGTTTCTGTATGCTTTAAGATGTCCTATAAGCTGTTTATAAGGTAGAAAAATTAAGTAGGTCTTAGCTAAAGTTAATACCCATTTTAGTCGTTGTAAGTGCACTCATGAGTCAATTTGGTCCTTGTAACTAAGAAATATGAATAAAATTAACCCTTTATGTAAAGTTAATTTTCTAAAATTATAAGTTAACACGTTATTTGATACAAAAACTATTACATGAGGTCATTGATCTTGCGTCAATTAACGTGATAATTGAAAATCTTAGGATGTAAGTTATGTTCGAAGGATTAGTTTAATTCATGTGTTTCTATATGTATGGACTAATTTGACTCAAATGAATTTATAGGGTCCAAATTGAATCATGAGTACAGTTAGAGGGACCAAAATGAGTATTAACTCGTCTTAACTACTTAGTTTTAAGCTAGTTTTTTCATCTCTCCATTTTGACCACATATTATTTACAACACTGTTCCTCATCATTTATAAATATTTACAAATGATTTATCTATCATTTAAGTCATTTTATGGTCACGAAAGAATATTTGACTTACAAGCAACTTATAAGTTAAAAACTGATTATCAACAATAACCAATAAGCGCTAGCACGGAGAACACCCACTTAATGTTATTTTTGGAGCTTTCCATCTTCCCCGTCTCTTGTAATCCGTATGCAAATTGTGACAAGTACAAGTGGGGAAGACCAAAACCAAAATTCCTTGAAAAAGCTAAGACCCAACAACTAAAATAACACAAATTGGAACTCTTATGATGCTTCATTGGTAATATTATTGGTTCTTACTTCTAACCCCCCTCCCCCCGACTCCTTGCACTCAACGCCAACCCCTAGATCGTGGACTTTTTATTGGTTGCCAAATCGGCAATCTACAGACGAGGGGAGGGGGTGGGTGGGGTTTTCGAGAGATTCTAAGTACTTGGTAGAAACTATCAATTTTACGAACTAGCACCATATGTATTCTATTGTGATAATAATTAGTCATATTGCATAAGCATGCATACATCATTACATATAGAGTATAAATGGAGAATTCAAATCAAAATAGAATCTTGAAATATGATAACAATAAAACAATAATAAGTAAATAATATTAGAGAAAATTATCTAAAATAATCCGAACTTTAAGTGCTCTGCCAAAAATAATCTCACATTTCAATGTTATGCGTAATAATCTCACCTTTTCACTTGTTTGCGCATCTTGGGTCACCGTTAGAGGGGTAACGACCTTCTAACGATTTTAATTTAGAATAGCCTATTTTGCGCAACGAAATGAAAGTTGAGATTATTTGAGGTAAATTCAATTTTTTTTTAAATTTTAGTATTAGAAATTATATTTTTGAAAATATAACAGTACGCTCTTGTCAAAGATTTGTGTTTATATTTTTAAAATGTAACGATTCACAACTTTGCAATGATGTTTTAGGGGAAACTTATAATGTATTACCAGAAAAATAATTTGTAGTGAAGTTTTAGGAAAATTACGTAAAACTTATTGTAGAGTGTAACGCCACAAAATATGGCCTAAAATTTATTATAAAATAAAAGTAGTTTTATCCAATAAGGAATATTTATACGTTTGACCAAAAATAAATGGATTTCCAAAATAATGACTTTTTGTTAAAAACTTATTCTTATGGATATGTCTTGAAGAGACGAATCCAACGGTACATTTTATGAACCAATCTGATTTATAGATTTCAAGTTATGTCAATTTTAAATATTAAAATTTGTAACTTTGACCCATAAAATAAACTCAATTCAAAAAGATTTTTTCATAGGGTTAGAAATCTTAAATTTTGACACTTGACAACATCATATTAATCATTTGGATTTAATTCATATATTTTTATTTCATTCATATTATTATATTAAATCATGACTGAGACAGACCCGAACACTGTGAAAAATAAAAGTTCTCAGAAAAATATTTTGATTACGCCAAAATTCTAGTTTTGATAGTCTGATTCCAAAAATACAATTTGTTTTCAATTCGGAGCAGTTTGGGCGAAAAAGTGCGTACCGTTTGGAGTAAACTGTTCAGTTTTGGCTAAAAGCCAAAACATTAATTATCAAATCTCTACTCAATCACGTAGCTAACCAAAGGGGTATCCACAAACTCTTTAAATCATTCTCCACTACCTCACTCCACCCACTACACTACAACACTTCAAATAATTATATAATACTCCCAAAACCACACCATAACATCATCATCATCTTCCACCATCCCACATCACCAATCATCTCTCCTCCTCACCATCCCTCTCTCTCTCTCGGCCAAACAAAAGGAAAGGAAAAGAAAGCCTAAACTCCATAGTTGGCTCAAGGAAGAAGAAGCATAGTTAGTTATATACGCCAAAAGTTTAATACGGAAATACGTACGTACGTGTATAATACGTTAAAAATTTATAAAATACGTCTTATGATATGTTTCATACGTACAAAACGTGCGTACGCATACGTACGTGTATTATACGTTTCCTAATTATAAAATACGTCTTATACTATGCACATATTTATTCACAAAAAAATTAATAATAAAGTAAATAAAAAATCAACAATCATGCTTTAAATTGAAATAAATCCAAAACAGTAAAGTGCGAGCATACAATCTTTATGTCAATAAAAAATAAAGTCTTAATCCAACAAATGTTCAAAATGAAAAGTAGGATAGAAAATCTAGAGCAACTACAAAATTATTCTAAAATACCAAAATCAGCAAAAACATCATCATCATCATCATCATTGACATAAGTCTCACAAAATTCTGGAAGTCCAGCATCATCCATACCATTGTCAATGTTAGGATCTTCCATTGAATTCTCACAAGCCTCATTGTTTTCATTACCATTAAGAATATGAGAGTATGACTCTACCTCTCCATAATCAGGCCATTCTCTCAACTTGCTCAAATCAATTAGATTGGAATCTTTAATCATCTTTTCCTCAGCATTTTGCATCATGAGTGTATTCATCCTACAGTACACAAGAAGACCTAGCATGCCTGGGGTGAGTCGATTCCTTTTCTTTGTTTGAGCAACTTCAAAGGCACTCCAGTTACACTCACATGCAGATGAACTACAAGGCTGACTCAAAAGACGAATGGCATATTTTTGAAGTACTGGTTGAGAGTCACCACAAAATTCCCACCAAATACCTGGTAAGAAACATATATAATGAATAAATGATTAAAAATAAGAATAATGTAAATGCTCATTAGTCATTAGTAAGAGCAGTACCAAATGCGATGCATCAATTAATGCTAACTACTTTTTTTCAATGCAAATTTCAAAGAAAAATAATATTGAAGTTAATCTATATAACTTTATTCAAGATTTAAAAAATAGTAATACAAGCAATTAAGTACACCATGAGAAGAATGCTTCATAATATAATCTCGATATTGCTATGAGAATTAAAAATAATTAAATCACTTACGAGGATGATATGCCGTCATCATGTTGTATGTGGCATCATTGAATAGAGAGGAAGGCTTCATAGTATAATCTCGATATTGCTTTATAAACTCCTTCCTGTCAACAGGCTGTATAACTTTTTCAAGCAAAGAAAACATACCTTTTTTCATCTCCACAGTTTGCTTAAAGTTTGTGTTACTAAGGAATAATGGGTCGAGAGTAGCGATAAATGCATGAATAGGATCAATGATATTATCTTTCCTTCTCGTATCAAATAATGACAACATTTTCTCATATTTGTCACTACTTTTTTCAACCCTTTTCTTGAGCTCATCCTTGGCCAACTCCATTGCTTGGTATAAATATCCAGAAGTAGAACTTTCACCATCAACTAAGCGAAGAACACGAACTAGTGGTTCTAAAGCTTGTATCAATTCTTTTGCTTCAGACCAAAAGGCATCACTTTGGATGAGTCCAGTCACACTAATAGCCTCTCGTGACTTAGAATAGGACAAATCTCTCCATTCTGGAGATGCCACAAACAAACGTAATTCATTCTCAAGACCAAGCGAAGACTGCACCACAAGAAAATTAGAAGCGAATCTAGTTGCACATGGCTTTTTCAATTCGCGTCCATTTGTAACTTTTCTCATCAAAGCAGTAATAATAGTATGGCGATACATATATGCCTCAATAGATTTAGCATTATCAACAACACTTTGAACCCAGGGAACTTGGTCATATATATCTTTAAAAAGCAATTGAATCTCATGTGCTGCACACCTGTTGTAGCAAATCATAGAATACTTTTGCACAATCATATTCCCAGCAGAAACAAAGTTTGAACCATTATCCGTGATGAATTGAACAACGTGTTGAGGTCCTACCATATCAATGACTTTAGAGGACAAATGACTTAAAAACATTCCAGTGTTCTTATCTTCAGAAATCTCAACCGATTTTAGAAAAACTGAACCTTTAGGGCACGATGCAATAAAATTAATAAAGCATCTTCCTTTAAGATCAGTCCAGGTATCAGACATAATGGAACAATCTGAAACCTCCCATGATTTCTTTACTTCATCAACATATTCATCAACTGTTTTTTTGCTCTTGGAATAAGTTTGGTCCTTAAAGTTGAATAGCTTGGCAATTTATAGGCTGGTCCATAATCTGCAATTCCTTTAACAAGATTGATGAATGACTTTTGTTGCACAACATTGAATGCAATATTATTTTGAATAAAAAACGTGGCAAGCAAGTCATCTACATCACTCTTGTCCATTTTTTTAACCATTTCAGGCATGGTAGTCTGGTACAATGACGGATGAGAAGACATAGTAGAACCACCCACTCTAAAGTTTGTTGTGCTAGATTCAACTCTAAGCCTTTTAGAGGTCTGTGTAAGTGTTTCACACACCTGAGTTTCTATGTCTTTCGGAACTTGTGTGCAAATCTCAATTTCATTACCTTTTAATCCAGACAAATGAAACTTCAATCTTGTTAAACCTCCAGAATATACTCGTTTACAGTACTTGCATTCAAATTTACCATTCATGTCGGTAGCATGTACCCAAAGTGGATCCTTCTTTCTAACCATGACTCTACAAAAATAAACCAAATTAGCTTAGCACTCAATTACTGAGTAATGACCAATTATGTATCAAAATTAAGAAATTAAAACTTTTCCATTCTATCACAAATTAATGAGTGTGTGACTTAACAATTAATCTTCTCAGCCACAAGAGTTAAATCCCTAATTAGTAACAAAAACAAACAAAATTGTTGGTTAGCTATTTATTAGCCACTTTTTTTTTTGGGAAATAAATTTAAGATTGGCATATTGCTTTTAAATATACAATTGGGAATTAGGAATTTGGGGGTTTGAGATAATCCTACTGCAACCAAAGGCCAAAAAACGCAGCAGAAAATCCAGAAATTTGATGATAAAAAACATGAAAAAACTCTAAAGACTCACCAGGTATGTTGATCAGACCGAAGAGGAAGAGGGAGAGGGAATCGCCGGCTAAGTGATCAGACAGAAGAGGAAGAGTAACAACCAAAGGCCGGTCGCTGCTGGTATCAACCGAAGAGGAACTGGGAAATCGCCGGCGTCTTCTCGTTGTGGACACTGGACAGCGATTCAGCGGCAATTCCAGCAAATGGTCGATCCTCGATAGAGATATGGAATGGAATTTGGATCGGGAAGATGGGAAATAAGAAAAGGGTTTGAGCGGCTGTAGGTTGTGAATTGGGTTGGGTTTTCGGAAAGAAACGCGTATATATGGTTCGGCTAAAAGTACGCGTATTTTAACGTATTTTATGATTTTATACGTATACGCAAGTATAATACGTGTATTATACGTACGTAAGTATAATACGCGTATTATACGCGTATTAACTAACTAGGAGAAGAAGAAGAAGGAGCAAGAAAACCATCCAAAGTTTCCAAATCATGATTTCCAAACGCAGCATCAACTTCTACGTAAGTTCTGAAATTTTCCATCCATTATCTCGAAATACTTCTTGAACCAAAGTTGTAGCCCCGAACGATACGAATCCAGCTCAACAAACGGCTCGCGATTTCGTTAAGTAACGAAGAAGATATGGCCAAAATACCGGGACTGCGCCAGTGGTGGCGAGCTCCTCGGGTTGGCATGTTTTTCTTCACCAAATTCATATTATTTCATTCCAAGAACTTACCATAAACTCTCTAACACTTATTAGGAACATCCGGAAGGTATCGTAGAGAAGGTTCGGCGTTAGAATATTGAAGTTAATGAGATAATCGTCGGAATCGTTGTTCGTCGGAACATCCAAAATCCTGGCAGCAACTATGAGTCCACTTGTGAGCTATATTTGACCACTTTAAACTCATTATTTTAACATGGTTTCTTCACGAAAGTTATAGCCTTACATCTTAGGAATCCACAGAATCAAACGGTTTGCAATTCCGTGAAGAAACGATGGAGATATGCCCAAATTACCGCAGGCTGTCCAGTTGTGACGGAAATGACAAAGTTGGCAAATTTCGATGTTGTTTCCACTCCCGCTCATCCGTAAGGTTTCGGCCGATGATTTCCAGGTCTGTACCTTTGCGTTAGACTTGTCGAATCATTCAACACATGCATACATGAACATATATGTTAATCCATATGTTGAAATCATTCCAAAATATATGTGTGGTGCATATATAAGTCATCTTTGTGTTAAAACCATAATACACCAAATCCATAAAGTTATTATATAAATACATGAATATATATATATATAAGCATTTGAAATCAACCCAAAAATATGTATATATTAATCAAAGGTGTTTAAAAGACTTAAAGAAG